GAGCACATGGGTGGCCAGCCGCGGCCACAGTAATAGGTGTGGTGTCAGAGCACATGGGTGGCCAGCCGCGGCCACAGTAATAGGTGTGGTGTCAGCCTTGGTCATCTTACCAGTTGTTGACTTGAAGCAGTGTCAAATTTGTCTGAGCAGCAATCTGCTTTTTCTCATCCTCTGTTGGGTAGGGATGCTAAAAATAAAGAGGGTTACTGTCACAGTGGGCTTTGGATTTTCAAAGGGAAACCCAAGCTTATCCAGGCAAATAAGATATATACAAATAAGCTAGAGAAAAAACTGATACAGTTGGATTTCAGCACAACTAGACTTTAGTTTTAGAAGTCCTTGTTTTAGAAATGTTCAGATAAGAATGAAGGGGGCTGAAGAGATGGCTCAGTGGTTAAGAGCACTGGCTGCTCTTCCAGAGGTCCCGGGTTCAATTTCCAGCACCCACAAGGCAGTTTACAACTGTCTGTAACTCCAGTTCCAGGGGACCTGAAACCCCCACACAGACATGCAGGCAGGCCAAACACCAATGCACATAAAAGAAGAATAAATACATCATTTAAAAAGAAGGTAAGAATGAAGCATCTCTCTTCCCTGACCAAGAATGTCCCACACTACAGCAGCTGTCAGTGTGTGATGAGAATGTGGTCAGCCAGTGTCCCAAGGTGCCCAGGTAATGGCAGCGGGAGCTGCAGCCCTGCTGGGGGGCATCCTCTGTGCCCAGCGACATCTGAGCCTTGACACAGCACCTCTGTATCAGCTTTGTTAGGTTTGATGCACGAGCAACACCCAGCCTCTACTTCAACCGTGAGACTGAACTGACACTACGAGGGATGCCGTCATCCCTCGCAGCTTTCCTAGGACAAACCTCTGCTGGACTAACGTGGTGGTAAAGTGCAGAGATTGACTGTCCCTCAAAGGTCTGTGTTGCAGGCTTGGTCCTTAGGCTGCTGCTATTGTGAGGTGCTGGAAACTTAGGAGGTGGGGCCCGGGGGTGGAGCCCTTATCCACTAAACAATAAACCAAACGTGACGTCAGAAACAAGCACCAAGCCAGAACATCAGCCAGCAGTCACTGCTGTCCCACTGCTTGGAAAACGAGGTGTTGCAAAGAGATGCGGGCCAGAAGGCGAGGAGAACAGGGAACTGCGTCCTCACTGGTCCTCATGAGCAGGGCTCAGGTCTGAGAAACATTAAGGCACTAAAGGGAAGTGTGCTAAGACTGACCCGCAGAGGAAAGAGGCGCACCCAACACAGCACTTCCGTGGGGACTGTGACCGCTGCACCACAGCCACTGCACCGGGCATCACTTCCTGTCCTTGACCCGACACCGCCTGTGCTGGCGGCCCTCTCCGTCATCACCCCGGGTGCCCCTCTTCCTGCCTGGGCCACTCGCTTGAAACTAAACAAGGCACGTGTGCTTCTCCTCACTGTGCCCGACTCCACACGCCTGGGACCTCCTGCCTCCCCTTAGATCCGCCGCAGGAACAGTGCTGCTGGCTCCTGTCTGTCTCCTTCTCCAGTCAGCCCATCCCACAGGAGGCCTTTCTGACCCAAAGGCACACCGTCAGCAGTAACTTAGTTGACTCTCTCTGTACAGTGGGGGGACCCCTGCTGCATTTTAAGTTTCTTGAAGTCTTTATTGGGGACCTGTGCTCAAGCCCCACTATGGACACAGCGTAATACCAAACTTAGACCTGGGCCGAATAAACATAAGCCAGTTTCCCCAGGACATAAGCCAGGAGGGCGTCTCAGGGTCACCTGTGGTGTATCCAATGCACTCTTACCCCGATGTGCTGAAAGAGCCACGACCGCATCACATTGGTGGCATGCTTCGGAAGGACGCCTCTCTTGTTCTTGGAGGAGCCATCTTCTTGATGCAAGATGCTGAGATCTTGATTCAACTGCAATTGAAGCTTTCATACAATTGACAAATGTCAGAAAGGCTTTGAATGACGGCACATCCAGCAGCTTACAACTTCAGATGGAGGAGGTACCGAGCAAGGCTCTCAGGCTTCCTCACCGTGAGTGAAGAGGCACGTGCTGAAACCCTGTACTGACTAATCTTTTGAGGATACTCGTAACACTGTCAACATAGATTGGTCTTCATTCCCACTTTTTCAGCATGCAAGTCCTACAATTCTTAGACTCTTCAAACTGTTAAGGGACAATTCCCATATGCTCAGCTGTGTCAACTGCTGACTGCAGTCCCCACGCAGGGACTATTCACAGGTTAGACTGAGGCAGAATCACAGACCTTAACCTCTGCAGTGCACCAAGGGGCTAAAGTTTTGGGGGATCACCAGCAGTCAGTGTGGGGTCATCAATGCTACTTGTGTCATGAAGCTTCCAAGCTCTTGGAGGGTGGCATACCAGAGAGAAGCCTGAGAGCTCTGTGCCCGCCCTGCACACTCTTCCTGCCTCCATCTGCATCCTCTGCCCTGGCCTTCATCATAAAGTCCAGCAGAATGGACCGGCCTCGAAGACAGCCCTGAACCAACTGGCTCTGGCAGGACAAGAGCACGGATGTGTCACGTGGCACTGTGGGCACAGATCAAGGGGCCACTGGACACAGATCAAGGGGCCACTGGACACCGACATAATGAAAACCTGGCGCACACACAAATAAAGCACACCGAGAGCCAGAGCATCATGGACTGTGGCTGAATGCACAACGGGAGCTGGTGCTGGGTGTCGCCAATAAGTACTGACTTGGTGCACCTGGAGAGGACGACCTGGGGGAGCCCCGGTGCAGTGGAAGGCGGGCAAGGACGTTTCAAGGACATTCATCAGAGGCATGCTTGCCTTTAGAAACACATGCAAATAGTAGAATAAATGGCTCACAGACTCGGAGGGGACCTGGGGGCCAAGGGAAGTGTTCAGACCTGTGACCTGACTACGGTGCTCTGTGAGGATTAAACTGTGGCCCACCCCAACCTGACAGAAAAATTCCAAGCAACGGTGAGAGAGGAGGAAGTCAACGCTGATACTCTTTTGAGGACCAGTGGTACAAATCAGAGGTCGGGCAGGTGGGGCTGCCGCTATGTGTGTACCCTTAGGTTCCGTCACCAGCACCACATAAACAGGAACGGTGGGTGGCACAAGCCTGTGTCCTAATACTCAGAAAGCAGAAGCAGAGGATGAGAAGTCCAGGGTTATTCTTGGTCAGATACAGAGTTTAAGGGCGGCTCGTGGCACATGAAAACCTACCTCCTGCCTAGTCCTCACTCTCAAAACAATGTTTCCATGGGTGTGTGCTAGCAGTATGATTGAAGACTTCTCAGTGGTCATCCCTCAGGAAGTCAGAGTTAATTCCAGCCCACTACTGTCGTCAGGACCAGGCCATACGTGGCCAGGTCAGTGTCCCCACCAAGGCTGACACCCTCCTCTGGGAGCAGCAGGATGCAGCACTTTCTGACCAGAGGCTTGTGTGGCAACATCAATCCACCTGGTCTGCCATGTGCCTTAGGCAGGGAGTCCTGTATTTCAGTGGAAAGCAGTGTGGGGACGAGGTCATGGGGTTTTTACAACAGGTCAGGAAGTACTCTTCTGAAGTCCTCAGACTCGGTAGGTTTGCTATTTAAATGGTAACCTTTATTCCTAAGAAGATTCAGTTACACAGAAGACTTTCTTATCCTTTGGGAGGCTGAGGCAGGAAGATCACAGTGAGATCCAGGCCAGCCAGGGAACAGAGCGAAACCCTGTCCCAATTCTCCCAAAACAAATTAAAAAAAACAAAAAACTTTCTTTTTCAACAAAACAAATGGAGTATCTTCTACAGTACTAGTAAGTTATTTGACTTATAATGTCTTCCCCTAAAAAAGCATAATTCACTGGGTGGTGGTGGTGCACACTTTTAATCCCAGCACTTGGGAGCAGACGCAGGGGAATCTCTGTGAGTTTGAGGCCAGCCTGGTCTACAGAGTGAGTTCCAGGACAGCAGGTCTGTTACACAGAGAAACCCTGTCTTGAAAACTAGTCGGTAATTGGACATGTCTCTATTGTTAAAATGTCTAAAATGGAAGACCCCAAGAGAAGCAGGCTAGTGTGGAGACAAGTGAGCATTAGTGAGCTCTAGCTCTTCCCTGTGTAGGCTGGGCCTGAGCAGTCACACAGCTCGGACAGTCTCTGGTGTCTCCCACCGATGCCAAGGGCACCTGCATCTTTTTCTCTAGTGATGTCACCAAACCTGTGTGGCCAGGACGACAGCCCCAGACTACCCAGACCACCGAGAGCCACTGCAGCCCACTTGGACTGCTTTTCCTTCAAGACAGCAGCCATACCCCGGGGCTAGGCATGAGAGTCCTTGATAAGGACATGGACAGAGACCTCACAAAGTGAATCAATATCCACAGAATAAAACTATACTTTAAACGTTGTCTTTAATTATTCAATGTAAAAAAATTCATGTTTCTAGAACTTAGGGGGTCTTCCAGCACAGAAGATCCAATTTCCCCGTGTTACTACAAAGGAATAGGAAGACTGCAGAATGACCATGGCCACAATGTGCCACAAGTCACCTCTTATTTGAGGAGCCAAACACCTGAAGGTGAGAGCCAAGAATTGCTACTGCAGACACCCACAGCCTGACCTCCACAAAGTACCCCAGTCACACAGAGAATGCAAAGCACAGGCCTGGGATGACCCCAGAGTTTGGGGTGCAGCTTCAGGCTAGGGGTACAGTCTGGGCTTTGTGGTTCTGAAAACTCTGCCTGGCTGTTCTGCATCTACAGGACTTTGAGTCTTGATATGCATTCACAGTGACGCCATGGCCATGGCTGCTTCTGGGGCTTTGAATAACTTTCCTGGTGCCTCAGACTGTTCTGAACTTTGTAAATTTCCACAATAAGGGAGATGAAGCATGGAAAGAAACAAACCGACCAGAGGCTACTTGACAACAAAAGACAGTCACAGAGAAGGGACGGCTTAGCCTGCTCCACTGGACCCCACCTAGGCAGCGCTCATCACAAGTCCTAGAGGGCACCACACACCTGGGAGTTCTGGATCCTAATTGTCCCAGGAGATAACGCCTGTGTGACCACTTGACCTTGTGGAGTGACGACGGTGACAGGCTGGTACACTGTGCCACCTCAAAAAGGAAAAGAGATTTAAATATTACACTATTTTCACGTCTTAATGATTTAAAGCCATTCTTGCTGATATGCTTAGGGAAAAAATGAAAAGTCTATCAGGTGAGCCTTCTAAGCATTTCAAATGGTCACCAATACTGTGCAAACTATGCGGTCAGACAAATGATCACACTAATTCGGGCCTGCACGGCACCTGGCGCCTGTCACTGGGGACTTGGCAGGTCCTTCCTTTTACCTGTGTCTGCTTTTCTTCCCTACAATGACATACACCCAGCATCAACTGGACAATGAACACCTTTACTCTAGTTCCGTCTGTCTTCTCTTTCTCATTTGTCTGTTTGGAAACAGGGTCTCTCCATGCAGCCCTGGCTGTCCTCGAGCTCACTGAGCTCTGCCTGCCTCTGCCTCTGGTACATCACCACACTGTGTCCTAGCTATGTTTCTTAGCAACAGCTGTCTTGTTCCACTGAAATTCCCTTTGCACCGCTCTGAGAGGTATACAGAGTACAGGTCTACCACTCCCTACATACCTGTTCCATTTACTGATTTTTATGTCTGCAATATTCTACACAGAGCAGAAAAATGCTTTACCTGCCCCTTCCTGTAATTGTTTTGCTATGAAAATAGTACTATGACTAAGGCAGTATTTTTCCTTGATTGGCACCACCAATTCATGATTCTAGGTAGTTTCCAGGTCCCATGACTAGCACAATTAAAAACTCTGTTATTTGAAAAATTAGCAAGATGATTCAGCAGGTAAAAGAGCTTGCTACCAAGCCTGAATAACAGGAGTCTGACCCCTGGGACCCATGTGGTGGAAACAGAACTGACTACTACAAGTTGTCCGCTGACCACACCCATGTTGTGATGCATGCACAAAAATGGGCGCCTGAGGACGCACGCGCGCACACGCACGCACGCACGCACGCACGCACGCACGCACGCACGCGCGCGCACACACACACACACACACACACACACACCAAGTGTTTTTAAAACTATGTTATTTGAAACCCTAATTAATTTTTGCTGTATCTTTTCTTTCTTTCCTTTTTTGTTTTTTTTGGGTTTGTTTTGGTTTGTTTTGGTTTGGTTTCTCAAGACAGGGTTTTTCTGTGTAGCCCTGGCTGTCCTGGAACTCACTCTGTAGACCAGGCTGTCCTGGAACTCATAGAGATCCGCCTGCCTCTGCCTCCTGAGTGCTGGGATTAAAGGCATGCGCTACCATCACTCAGCTTTTCTTTTTATACTTTATTATTTTAAATTTTGTGTGTGTGTGTGTGTGTGTGTGTGTGTGTGTGTGTGTGT